TGGATTCGTCTGAAAGAATAAAGTCATATACACCTAGGATGCTTCGAGGGTAAGTAAAACACAAGCTAATTTTCATTTTTTGGGTGAACTAACCCTTTAAGGGGCCAATCATAACGCACTGCAGGGCTGTACAGTGCGACATATATGTACGCATATTGCACGTGCTACGAAATAACTGGTCTGTGCGATGAATAAATTTACCACACAAAACTACACTATTTCCCACCTGCTTTAAAGCAATACCGGTAAAACATTTAATTCACGTGCTGTTCTGCATGCGCTGTTTCTGAGCGTGTACTCATGATATATATATATATGTATATGTATAGTATTTCAGTCTGGCGAGTAAACAAAAAAATTTACTAGCCAATGGCGATTCAATTGCCAAGGTGTCCGTAGAGGGTTGCAGATGCATGTCAGTTTATTGGTAAAATAAAGTGACAGCAGCCTCTAAAATGACTCCTATCATCAGTCATATCGCCCACCCCTAACTGGAACATTAGAATAGCGTGTGGTATTTAACTAAACGTGTAAACTGATCTTAAGTGGGCAATACTGACCTTTCTTTGATTTGCTCTTAGAAGAGGATGATTTCTTCTTTAAGGTCTGAGTCTGTGCGTGTTCTCTCCATCGTCGCAGCTGGAAGTTGATAAATTTCCACATCATAAAAGCCTGAGTGGTGCATATTGCAGCCAGGACAGTCACCCTGAGAGAAACAGAGTGCCATTACAAACAACTCCAACAATAATACAGCAAAAGGTTGTCATTGCTTTTCCATCATCTGGTGTTTAAATGAATCACGTCCATCCAAAAGGCTCTCACTTTCAGTAGAAAAGCTTTTACAATGTGATTGCATATTATGCATATTATGAGTTGAGACTTTTTTGACTGGAAATTTTGGGCAACTAGAGCAAATTTTTATATTTGATGCAAAGGTTTGTTTGTTTGTTTTGGCTACATAACTCTGTTACCATCTCTCACATCATCTCACACTTTTATACTAAAAACCAAACACTTCAAAACTAAACTGCATATCAGATTTGGACAGCATTGCACAAACCACAAAACCAGCATGGTGCAAACCATTTGAATTTAACAGAGAATTTTACTACTTCAAAGCTCTACAGAAATTCAAACATGTCACATGACAAGGCACTTGGTTTATAATAAGGTGCTAAAAATTGCTTCTTGAAAAATGAAATCAAAACGGCAACTGCTGGAGAGCAACTCAAAATGCTTTCAGACATTTGCATGATTTATCTCAATTATTTCTTCCTTTTTTTTTTGCAATGACAAGATGAATATCCCCCTGCTTACCGTACAAAGAGGACATTAAAGCTTCCCTCTGCAAGGTTCAGACCCTGTTTCTCTGCTCCGGCCAGTCCAAAGCCCACAGTGAGAACAGACAGGGAAAGAGTCAACAACCGGCCCAGCACAAACAGAACAGCCCACACTGTAAACCTGTTAACATACACAAAATGCTTCATAACAGTCAAACATCCTTTCCTGAGTTCCAAAAGCAGAAATGTGCTAATATTCAATTTCCCTGTGCACAGTAAAAATCATTAGAGGCGGACATCGGATGCCCATTTTCCACAAGTTGGTATGATTCTTTAGGGCAGTGGTCACCAACGTGGTGCCCGTGGGCACCATGGTAGCCCGCATGGAGTCTGAGTAGCCCGCCAAGCATGTTCTATAAATAGCCTAAATTAGTGTCTGGCGATAAATAATGTCATATCGAGATTATGATAAAATTTATGTTAATAATGATGATCATTTTTACTCAATATGGATTAATCACAACAGAAATAAATGTTACAGCAACCAGTCAGTGCATGTTGCTAATAAGTCTGCATGTTCTGTGTGTCAGTGTGAATGCGTGGAGTAGTTTCATCTGATACACAAACTCAAACACAAGTGACTCTGTGATTTCAGCGTCTGCATCACAATATATGAGGACATGAACACATGCACTTCATCTTCAGAGCTGCTCTGAGAGTCACTTCACCAGCTTTATGCAGTTTAATTTGAGAAAAAACACAGTCAAATACACGCTGAAACTAAAACTGAAAGACCTTCACGACAAACCGTCAATTAAAAGTTCGGTTTAACTTGAAATTATATGATTGAATATGTTACTACTGTATACTACAATGCATTTCTCAAAGTAATAATAATAATATTATTTTTAAAGGAGTCATATGATGCGATTTAAATTTTTCCTTTCTCTT